GGGGGGGCTTAATAGAGAAGGGGGGCTTAAAAGAGAGGGGGGGCTTATTTAATTTAGCGAAACGCATCACCTGTAGCAAAAATACCTTGGTATGAGACAGAGTAGACTTACGCATTGTACAATTAAAGTCACCGTCAAAAGTATTTAATTCACTTGTGGGAGCCTAAAAGTAACAAAAACAAAATTCTTATTCTTCAAAAATGTGCTTTCGACCTCATGTTCTTCGGTAATTTTTATGAATAAACCATAACTGATCAGTCCACGTTAATCGTTAATTTTTTTGTGAAGAATAAGGATTGGAGGAGGGGGAGGGGGGGGGGCTTAATAGAGAGGGGGGCTTATTAACTTTCCTCCTCTTAAAAGGGGGGGCTTATTAGAGAGGGGGGGCTTATTTGAGAGGGGGGCTTAATAGAGGATTTACGGTACCTTGTTTAAGACATTTAACCTGAAACCACACCCTGTGTAAGATAATAATAAATATCGAAACTCTTTCTCATTCAATCCGTTGGCAATCACAAAACTATTTACAGCTTGATCAACAGAGTCATGCAGGCTGTTTATCGTCCAAGAAAAGATACCCACGGTTTAAGACAAAAATTGATAAAATCGATACCTTATTAAGACAAAAAAAGATAAAATCGATACCCTGTTTAAGACAAAAATCCCCAAAAGCATACCCTAGCTGGCCGCATGTCCTCATTAAGCCCTTATAAGGGAGTACCCCCTCCCGGGGACATTGTATGCCATAAATGGATGTGTCTGGAGCTCTTCTCAGAAGAGACCCCCTGTGGTTCGATTCTTGTAAGCGACCACTCACTCAGTCTTTACATTTTGGGTGGTCGCTAACGGGAGGTTCGACTGTACAGTCTGAGTACCAGATCTTCGCATCCCATGTCGTTTACTCTCTCGTTGTAAAACGGATTGAAATGAATTAGCTTGAATTGCCTTGACATTATTGCAGTAAATCCAACTACTGAATTACCAGGGCGATCTCTGATTACATTGTTTAGTACATGTTCTTGTTTTATTTTCTTTGTTAACAAAATGATGGATTTTTAAAGTATCTCATGAAAATGAGAAAGGTCTAACTGCTTCAAATATGGTGTACCAATACGTTTAATATAGATAATTGCCTCGTGTTTTAATAGCGGAAAGTCCGGTGTGTCGGTTGTTTAGGGTTCTATTATTTTAAAGCAGTACTATTTTATTCTCGTTTGTTTTCGTTTCTTTTTTGTTTGCTTGTTTGTTTTTGGACAAATGCCTTTCAACTCAAGGCTAGCTGATTCTAATACAAAATGGACGACATGCGGACTCGATCAGGCTAGCAGGTGCACCAGGGAAGTGCCCGCGCGCCTCCTGACATCTAGTCTGGCTGTAGGGTTGTCGAGAAAAGGCATGAACTTCGTGTACATTTAAGGATCACTTTTGTAGAACATCTACCATGACGGTGTTAGAAATCACGTTCGTATATTAGCGCAATGGAAATAAGACATTCGATAAAATTTTGCGAAAGTTCATAATCGATTGAGAAAACCAATGTCACAGCACACACGTCTGTGACTTTGCCTCGGTTTCGTGGACAATACACTTCCTGTCTCGCAGAGGCGCCAATTCAATTCATGGAACTTATTATTTATTCAAAGGAAGAGTTGGAGGTCGAGAATTTTCTTTGCATTTCATTGAATTGAAAATCGAGTGTAAAATATCTGTGAGTCACGCCGCCGTCTGCATAATTGTTTTCCGTCACTGTGCTCGTGTAAGCACCTAAAGCGCGTCTTTCATAAGGAAATGGACGCTCCGTTTGTTTTGTCTCCTTTTGACATATCGCTCAGCTGTGCTTTAGGCGAGTTGATTTGAACGCATTGTTGGAGAAAAGACCTCAGGTTGAAAAGAATATTACAAAAAGGACTTTCCACATATAAGTGTGGATTCTTGCTTAATACTTGCTATTTGAAAGTGGATGAAGTATTGAATTTAGGACAATATTTCGGCAATTCAAAGATCAAAGATGTCGAGTAACACCACTTCCAGCGCGACCGGTGAAGAGAAAACTTCAGCTGCTGTCGATGATGTCGAATCGTCTTCAATTACCGCTCTGTCACATCAGATGTCAGATTCCTCTTCGCAACCTTCGAGTTCTCAAGGTATGATAATATTACATTATTCTTTTACTGGTAAGACAAAGGCAATTTATTTTGGCTATTTTCTCTTTGGCACGTTAAAATTTCGAGGCTTGTCTTGTTATGTTACTGCATAATTAACTCAGTCTTTGTACTAAAGGCTGTTTGTCTCAGGTTTTGTTGAACTGAAAGGCAGTGTTTCGTCTACCTGAGATATTGAATTACCTTTTTCATGTAATCCCTTACATAAGATGTATAAAATCTATTTTAGTTTTGTTTAATTTTTGGCTCAGATTTGCTATGACACGAGGGAAGTTTTTGCGGCCATTATTCCACACGCTTGAAGAGTTTTACTTGTCACGTTTTCTTCTGGTAGTCACAAATGTCATTTTTCCTAATCAAAGAAGCTAATGTACATCACATTTAAAGGCTACTTCATTAAGAAAGGTCCTTTCCTCTTTTTCTTGCCGTTGATTGCCGTCTTTTAGGTTTATCGTGATTTGTCATGGAATGAATTCGTGTAGTTACTGCGAAGATCGCATGACAAGAAATGATATTTAATTTGCATAAGTTCGGTTCATGTCGATAACAATTTGCCAACGCTCACGAAAAAGAAAAAGTTTGACTCGATTGCCGTTTCGAAATGTTTAATTGATAAAAAGTAGAAAATAGGCATCAATTTAGTGCTGTGACGGCTATATCTATACATTAGATATTTAGGTTCCGTCGCGTTAACTCAATCAAGCTACGACTATAGTAGGCATGCATAATGAATATTTCCACGAATGTTACTGCCTTCATCACTGGCAAATGTTTTTTCGATAGAAATGATTTTTCAAGAGGTGGGAATTGCACCCAAGGCTTAACTTTCACCTTGTCTGTTTTTCTTCGTCACTCATTTGAAATAAGGTTGAATAAATTTATTTAATTAATTTATTTGTTGTTTAAAATTAGTCATTCTTTTAATGCAACTGCAAATGCACAAAACCTGCCCTAAAATATAAGAGGTATGAAACCTAAGATAATATACTCCTCCTAAAAATTGGGTTGGTTAGCATAACAGTAACAACTAATACAAGTCAAGTCTAACAGATAAGCAATGTTCAGTGTTCATCATGTACCGGTACTTAAAGAATGTTCACTTTTCACATATGAGTCTGCATGGTGGTTTCCTCTCTTGACTCGGGTACCTCGGTGCTGGGTGTTGTGGCAATGGTGCCTCTGAGGAACTTGCTCCCTCTAAAGTGTTGCCCAACAATGATTATGGTGACACCTTGGTTGTCTCCTGTTCCTCCACATCACCTGCATCCGGAACTCCTCCTGCCTTGGATGTACTAACCAGTCAGGCTCAGAGGGACTCTGCAATCCACTCTGTACTTCGGCTTGGGAATTTAGCAAGTTTCCTGCATAATATTATCTTCCTCTCCCTCCCAAGAGCTTGAAGACTGGATGCAGCGAGCAATCTTGAAATGGTCCACATGAACAAATCGTACTTGGCTCTCACAGCAAACTAGGAAAGTGCGTGGACCTTTCACAATGAGTGACCAGCCAATTACGAACCAAGACGACTTCTTGCAACTTGAACTCTCGGAGCTTTGCTCGTCCTTCATCATGGCGCTTTCTCTACTGCTCTGTTGAGGATGGGTTTCAGTGATGTGAAACAGTTCCTAGTCTGTTGTCCCAAAAACAGTTCAATGGAAGATTGCCCAGTGACAGTGTGTAAGGTGTGCTATGATTCAAAATAAAAAAGTTGACCAGCTCATGTTCCAGACTGAGGGTATTTGTTTTGCCATCTAGCAAAAAACCGCCCTGGTGGTCTGGACAGAACGTTCACCAGCTCCATTAGATGCGTTGTGGTGGGGTGGAACCTGGGTAAACCTGACTCTGTTCTGCCTCCAGAATTAAGAGAACTATTCAGATGCTAGCTGTGGCCAGTTGTCTGAAACCATGTCTTCTGGTATTCCATAGTAAGCAAACAATGTGCGCTAAACCTCAATGGTTTTCAAGCTGGTCAAGGAACTCATGGGAATTACCTCCAACCACTTGGAATAGGCATCAATAACAATCAAGAAATTCAACTTGCCCTTCTCAGAGAAATTAATGTGGATATGCTGCCATAGCTTAGCAGGCCATTTCCAAGGGTGAAATGGTGCCCTTGAAGGGGACTTGCCCAATGCAGCACAAAGATGACATTGCTGAACCCTCTCAACTATAGCAGCATCCAATCCTGGACACCAAAAATAACCCTTGACCAGCAATTTCATATGGCAGATTCCATGATCCTCTTGGTGCAAGTTATCCAACAGACAAATACAGAATACCTCTCGGGAATAACCACATGTAAACCCTACAATACACAGCCTTAGTCAACAGAAAGTTCTTGCTTTAATGAAAAGTAAGGCTCCCGGGGGGGGGGGGGGGGGGTACTCCCATATAGGGGCTAAATAGGTAGGTGCCGCGGGGAGGGGAGGGGTTTTGAGGCAGTTTTCCTTGGGGAGGGGGTTTAAAAAAAGGGGGTTGGGCTGTGAAATGGGGGATATTTTTTGAGGAAACTAAAGGGGGGAGGGGTACTGCCATATATGGGCTATATAGGTATGTGCCGCTGTGAAGGGTATGGTTTTCAAGCAGTTTACTCTAGGATAGGGTATATAAATCAGAGGGTTTGGCTCTAGAATAGGGTATCATTTTTCAGGAAACTGATCAGTTAGTTGAAGATTTTATCTAGACTAGGGAAACAGCTACTCTAGGATAGGGGGGTTTGGGGAGTTTACTCTAGTATAGGGTAGCAAAATTCAGCTGAACTAGCTCTGGTAAAGGTTAAGGGTTCCAGGCTCCCAGCGGCACATCCCCACCCAGAAATTCTTAAAGTGCCCACCCCCCGGGGTAAGGCTGCAACACTGGATCATCTAATGCTTGAGGCCATCCATGCAAAGTGAAGTCGTACACACAAGCTAAAATGGGTCTTTTCTAGTTGTAGCCATGATATATTGGGCTGTAACTGGAGGGTCCTCCAGGCAACTGATGAAATATACTTTTTCCTTGTCCTCTTGTTCTTCTAAAGACACCCGTACAAGTCTTGACAAGCATCTGCATTCGCATGTTCAGCAGACTTCCTATACTCAATCTCATACTGATAAGCTGCTAAAATCAAACGCCACCTTTGCATCCTTGCTGTGGCCAGTGGGGTACACCAGTCTTCGGCCCAAGAATCATGACTAGCAGCTGATGATCCGTAAGCAATGTAAACCTCTGACCAGTGGGGCAGGGAGTGATGATATTTGGGACTAAGTAACAATGTCCTCACAACTTGCAAAGCAGTCACCTTGCATGGTGTTCAGCGGATGATTGCAGTGTATTTTTCACAATGTAAATATTTCAGAGGCGAGAAGGGAACCTGCAGAGGAAATAATTCAATCATTGGAAACATAATATCATGCCTCCTTGTTTTTCTCACATATTGCATTTGTCCTTTGGTATTGAAATTGCAAAACGGAAGTGACACTCTGTGCAACCATGTAAATTCTTAACTGACAACAACGCTCGGTGGACTATCGATCTAGTTTATAGGTATTTTGTCGGGTGAGGAGAATATCATAGAAGTTATGATGCTCATTTATGGGGAATTTAAAAGTCTATTCACGAGAGCTTTGTAAACATGAGCTTACATGCCTAATATTAAACAGATTCACATTTCATAACAGTGATAACATTTCACTTCGTCTATTACCATCATTCAACACCTTAAATTCAAAGTTAAAAGTTAAGCAACCCTAATATACAAATTACATCTATTGCTGAAAGCTCTGTACCTTGAAGTGACCTTAACTTTCCTTAGGTTTGCAACAAAACACTACTCGATATCTTAACTCTCTGGCGGTTGTTTCAGCTATATGGAGCTCTATGTTGCATATTCCAAACTCTGCAGAGGAAGACCGTTTAAAGGAAAAAGCAAAACTCACACTATGTCTGAAAAGCAAAAAAAGCATTAAGCACTACGTTTGAAAAGCAATAAAGTTGCAAATTACCAAGATATAATAGTGAGAAACAATCCCCCCTTTGACCTCCATGATTTTGCTCGTTCTCAAAAGTGTTGATCTTTGGTTTATGATGTAATGCACAAATCCATTTTGTTTTCATTTAAGAGAATGTATTGGAAGTAGCTTCCCCCTGCCTCTGACCATACAGATACAAATGGAACTTTTTCACTCCAAACACAATGAATAAAGCCTCTTTCTCTATTTGGGAATAGTTTCGCTCACTAGCTGTGAGAGTTTGAGAGGCAAAAGTGATAGGCTTTTCCTTGCTTTTCTCCATAACATGGGAGAACCTGATGCTGTGCTCTTGTAAGTGCCTGAAAACCTCCTCTAGGATTGCCAAATGTTGCTCAGGGGAACCCCCTGAAATCAGGATGTCATCCAAACAGCAAACTGTGAACTTAACCCCCTGCAAAAGCTGATCCATAATCCTTTTTAAAAAAGCTGGTGTACTGGAGACTCCAAATGACAGCCATTTGTAACCGGTACAAACCCTTGTGTGTGTTGATTGTTTGGCACTTCAGCAAATCCTCATCCAGCTCAACCTGCTGATAGGTGTGAGATAAATGAATCTTGGTAAATACTTGTACCCCGGCTAACGTTGCAAACAAATCTTCTGTATTAGGTAAAGGGTACTGGATGACATTAGCACATTTGTTTACTGTCATATTGTAGTCGCCACACACTTTCAGTGAACCATCTTTCTTGGGGACCAACACCACTGGGCAGCCCAGTCACTTTGACTTACTTTGTAGATAATCCCTTGATCCTCCAGTCTCTGTAGCTCCTGCTCAACCTTTTCTTTAAGAGCATATGGAATGGGTCTTGCTTTCAGAAAGATGGGCTGTGCACCAGCCTTCACAGACCTGAATGGATCCGAGGCTTTATACAGCTTGATGTTTCGATACCCCCTCTCAAACAGGGCTTCATATTTAGCAAGGATATCCTCCACAGCAGGCACTTGAGACACCTTGAAGGTGGTGGACCAATCTATTTTCAATTTCTCAAGCCAGTTCCACCCAAGCAACACAGCTTTTCTCCTTGAGCCACCAACAGAGATAGTTGCATTTCCTGGGTCTGATACTGCACAGTAGCTTGAAGTTTTCCCAACAAGGGTAACGACTCACCAGAATATGTTTTCAAGTGGAACTACATTGGCTGCAATTTGAGATGCCTAAACAACTTCTTGTGCTCCACCTCAGAGATGATGGACACCACTCATCCCGTGTCAATTTCCATGCTGACTTGCTTACCCTCCAACAATAACTGAACTTGAAACCCTCATCCACCTTGTCCTTTAGACTTGAGAGTTTACAATCCCAGTCCAGGCTGCTCTTCAGTATTACTCATAGGTGAACCAAAGATTGCACCATCTCTTTCTTATCACACATCTTAGCAAGGTGACCCTTAGTGTGACCCTTGCAACATTAAACCGACCTAGCCCTGGACCCTGATGGAGAATGCTTTCCACCACAAAGAAAACAACTCATGGCTTCCTCATTTCGAATGCCCTGGACTGGCATTTTTGCTGACCTTATTGACCATATTGTCCACCAGTACACTGGCATCTCGAAAATCCTCTTTGTTGGCTAACTCGATGGATTGTGCTGTTTCAAACATTTTCTTAAATGTCAACTGTCTCTCTCTGCCAACAACTTTGTCTGAATTTGCACGCTTTTCGATCCGAAATGAGGCCCCGTAATGAGGTCCCCTAACGCGCCTTCCAAAAAAGTTCTAAACTCACACCTCAACGCCAGTTGCTTCAACTCACCTACAAACTGAGGGACCGTTTCACTCTCATGCTGGTTCAGACTATGACATTTAAAACGTTTGGTGATCAAAATAATTTTAGGCGAGTAAGGTGAAATCATAAGCTCTTTCTTCATTTCAATGAAAGACTTACCTTTCAGACATCCAGGAGCTAACAAATTCTGCAGCACACCATATGCATCTTATCTAACTACGCTAGAAACGCTTGGATATAATTCTCTGCAAAATACAATTCCACTCACTCGATATAACTTGCAATATCTTCTTTACCGCCTACTTACTCTCCAACTTGAACTGCAAGCACTATCCTTATCGCCGAAAATGTAATATTTAGGTCTTAAGCAACAGGACAAACAAACCATATGCGTGAATCATTCTTTTAATGCAACTGTGGATGTGCAAAACCTGCCCTATAAAATATAAGAGTTCTGGAACCTAATATATTACAAAAGGAATACTTAGCACATCAAGGAAATTTATGTCACGAGTTTAAAGGAAGTGTAGAAAGTGTCACCAATTCTATGAATGGCTGCGGTTTCGTTTATGAACTCAATTGCATTACACATTGTTGAAGTGGTGGCATGACATGTATTTTATATAAACTAGGGAACACAAAGCAGTCATTCCTCTTTAATGTAGCTGTTCACTTCAGTCTTTCACACCAGTCATTTAAAAATTTTGTTCAATTATTTGAGCTCATCTATTAGAAAACTTCTTTAAGCCATCCAGCTGTTTGGCCACTTCATTTTGAAATGCTTGGCTAGCTGTTTCTCTCCCATTCACTTGCTGTGCATGCCATTTCAAACAGATACCTTAAGGAATGTTTTCGTGTGAAAGGTTACAAAATTTTTAGACAGATTTGAAGTTTCTACAAGTAACCATTTTGCAAATCCAGTGAAATATAGATTTTATCATTCTACTCAACGATAACAATTTCTGCAGAAAATGTTCTTCAGTGTTCAGAGTCCATGGTATCATCAACACCCTCAGATGACAGTCAAGGGAACTCACAGCCAGTGTCCATGGATGGTACAAATGTGAACAAAGCTGACACAACAGGTGTGTGTGATCCTGAGCCCAGCAAAAGTGTGCGTCTTACAGAGTTTGTCATTTATTAACAGAGATGTAGCTAAGGAAAAGCTAAGCAGGCTTTTTTATCAGTCAAGCTGCACCTTCAAAGTTACCCCAAGTTGTTGATTTTCAGAGCAATTTGAGCCAGTGCTAGGGTCTTTTTCAGCTGCTGAAATTAGCTGGCATCTGGCTCTTAGGGACATCCAACCTGTATTAAGTTAAGGTTACTGTATACCTTCAGGCACGTCTCATGTGCAAGTGGTAAAGTGCATTCTGGTTAAGCTGAAGATACCTAAAATCCTATTTCAAATTAAAGTGTATTGAACTGGCAATATTATTAGATAAACCTACAATCCTTTATAACACTTGCATTTTCAATTTTTAATGATTTTTTAATGTGAGTGTCTGGACCAGCTTTTGAAAGCTTAAAATCAAGGGGAATTTGTTTCATTGACCTAGGATTTTGAGGAATGTTTGTCTAATGTGTATGCATCAGGCTTTTAGCCAGACATTGAAAACTGGCCGTCCAGAAGGCATGTTTTTCCAAAACGTATAAGAGATTAGGTGAATTTTCCTTGTGTTTCTTCCAAAAATGGGCGTCCATAGGACGGCTGGACACCCTTCTGGCTAAAACCTTGGTATGCATGCAACCAAACCTGTTAAGGAATTTTTTTGTTTTGTAAAACGTTTTTATTGAGAGACATTTTTGTGTGATTCCATTTTTTTAGCCTTTTTTCCCAAGTTTTTCTGTAAATTTTCATTGCAATCAAAAATTGCAAAATCCCACTCAGCATGTTTTTATTAACACTTCAACTTTGAAATACTAGAACAAATCCTTTTTTGTGAAAAACAAAAATCACTTCAAGTTTTAGCTTTAGCTTGTCCTTGCACTTTTATCTTTACCCTTTCTGGCTGAGTGTATAACTCCTCATCATAAAAAAGTTAAAATACACAGTAAAGGGATAAATCAATTCTGTAGGAACTCTGTGTTCAGCCACCTTGTTGCTCAGAGGTGAATCAGCAGTGGATATCCTGAGTATGAATAGCCAATCACTAAAGTACACTCAAAAAACACTATCCACTGTTTCAGTATTTACTAATTAAAAATAATAAATAAAATATATCAAACCAATTGGTGTCTCCGGCTCTCTGTGCAATCCAAGCACATTCTGCACACTCAATGTGAGAAATGAAATATTCTTGCGGTGTTAAGATTTGATTTAGTTCAGACCTCACAAGGCTTTATAGGGGGTTAATTATATCAAAATTGGGTTCAGACACTTTTATTGAGAATCTTAAAAAACTCAAAGTTGCACGTTTTTAAAAAATTGTTGGTATATTAAGATAGCCAGGGCAATAAGCTTGGGTGTTTCTTGATGTTGTGGAAACTTTTGTAGTTTTGCTTTTGTGTTGTGTTTTGGGTATTGTTCAGTGTCTTTTTGATCTTTTGTATCATGTCATTTGGTGATCGTCTACAGCCATCTACAACACAACCAAGAAACTACCATAAGCTTTAATTAATTTAATATATAAAGTTAGGTATGTTTAGTTTAACCAGAATGCGCATTGTCTCCTACATGCGAGACACCCCTGAAGGTATCTGCTAAACCTTAAAGAACAGTAGCAGTTAACTCTAGGTCATGGCCAAAGAATGACCAAGATCAGTTTTCTCCTACCGATATCAATATACAAAGTCAAAAGAAGAGGTCATAAGAATTTATAAAAATGATCAGCAAAGAGAAAATGCTTTGATCCTTTATGGAGTTCGGTCTAAAGATGTTGGGGCTGAAACGGTGGTTCAGTGTTTAGTAATGCGACGAACTCTAGATCCAGTGGCTGCATGGACTTTGAGCTTTGGCTGTGCCATTGCATTGTTTCCTAATTATATAATGCTTGCAACTTTAGCCTTTTACCATAATGTCTCTTCCCAAGTGTAGGGTAAGGGTGCAGTTAACATTAATATGAGGGTGTTTAGCCAGTAATAGTATCTTAGTTAGGGGCCAGTTTCAGTGAATGTCAGACATAACTGCTGTCATCTATGCATGGAACTTGATACAGGTTGAGATAGAGCAGTAAAAAACCCTGATCTCTGTCTGTCAGTTGTCAGTGCTTGGATTACATCACCTTAAACCCACTTGTGGTAGTGAAGAGTGATTAACCTGGAGGCCTCTGCTAAGGATCACTGCTGTTATATGCAGAGCAATGATAAGGCATTTTGAGGGTACTGTTTATGACAACTTGTTTTGCCCATCAATATATTGGTGTTTTAATTTGTTTTTAGAAGTGCCCACAAGCAGTGGAAAGCAAGAGAGGACAGAGTCAGAAACCACCCCCATAACAGTAGGGCCCTGCACACCAGACAAACCCCATGTGTCAGCTTCAAATGGTCTTCATTACTCTCCTGGATTCTTAGCTACCAGTAATCTTTCTCAGTTAGCAGAACTTGCAGCTAATAAGTCAGCCATGAATCAGACAGCACCAAACAGTGTACAAACACCTACTGCTCAGCCTCATCTGCTTGGAAACCAAAGTAGATTTGTTATTCCCACTCAAGGAATCACCCCTGGTATGTTTGGAGCGTACCAAACCTCACCCATTGTGCAATATCATGGCTTTACCCCATCTCCTGCTACCCAGGTCCCATCGCCATTTGTCAAGGGCTCTATCATTCAGCTGACAAGTGGAGAGTTAAAGAGAGTTGAAGATCTTACAACAGAAGATTTTGTTCACAGCACAAAGCTCTATCCAGATCACAAATTGGATACCAGCACTGTAGTGAAAATAGAGGATGGTACAGATGCAGGATGCACACATATAACCTTCACCATCAACAGTTCAAAAAAACAGGTACTGTAATATACAGGTTAACAAGCAAGTTCCAGCTTGTATAGGCTTATCACTTTGATGTATTGAGAGTGTTGTCTAGTAGAGTCTCCTTCCAAAGGAGAAACTTGGGGTTGGGAGACTTATTACTCTGTTACATATTGCTAGGTGAGGATGTCGCTTAACTATGGTATCACTGTTGTTGAATTTGAATATGTCACTGTAGGCTGAAATGTCCTCCCAAGTATCCAGAACTTTTCATTGAGCAAATCAATTGTAGATGCTTAAACATTGTCAGTGGCAGACTGCACTGTCATTTGATGTAGCCCAGTATTCAATTTAATTACCTTTTTTCGGTAAAATATGCACAATTTCCTTAAGTTTCTGTCTTTTATTACTGTTATATTAAGTTACCCAGTTTAAATGCTTGTATGTGTTACAGGTTAAATTTGATTTCAGGTTGAAATGTTTTTAACTGAAAATGATTCTGGTGCTAGGAGACAGAGGAAATTAAGAGTCAAGCTTGGTACCATTGAAAGGCCTCCATAAGAGAGGCTGACGTGTCATGGCTTAACTCTGGTGGCCCTCGTCCTGAGCTTTAAAATGTTTGGTAGGGCAAATGTTTCTAGTTGAAATAAGATGCCTTTGCAAGAAGGGATCACTATTTTGTAATTTCTTTTGGCAGGTAACTCTAAACTGCCCTGTGGAGCACCCATTCTTTGTGTATGGCCAAGGTTGGACGTCCAGTAGACCAGACCAGTCCCTTGCTAAGTATAATCTGAGCTGTCAGGCTCTCAAGGTTGGTGATGTGTGCATATTTCTTTCTCCTTCTGCAGTTGGTGTTCTTCCAAGTGTTCCATCAACCCAAGCTACTCCAGCTGCACAGTCTGGGACTTTGTCAGTTCCAGCAAAGGGAGCCATATCTGTCAGTAGCACAAGTCAAACACCAAGTTCTGTTACAGTGTCCTATGCACAAACTCTTGCTGGAATGGCAGCTTTACCAGGCAACATGCAAGGTGTTGTTGTAACATCCTCTCTACCAGCTGGCATTCCTGCAATATATCCAGGAACATTTCCACCGCCTCAGGGAAAAGTGGGAAGTACCCAAAGTGGTGCTGAACGATCGACAACAACTCAGCCCATAGTGGTCTACACAGCTGATGGCAAACCCTCAGATCCCCAGCATCCCCCAGCAGTAGTGTCTGGGGGATTCCCATTAGCTGGTGGTGCTTACTACCAACCCCTCCCAGGAACTCTTATGACATCAGTGCCTCCTGGCCAAACATTTGTACAGGGCACAGTTGTGCCACAAGGCTCTGTAGGAAATGGTTTGCTTGTTGCTGCAGTTGGTTTTGTCCCTGGTAGACAACCTCCATTTGTTCAGCCTGGAATGTTGTACAATCCATCTCCGGTGGAAGTTGTGCCAAAGGCAGCTGGTGACGGAAAGGCTGAGGAATATCCACAAAAGCCTGGAAGAACAGACACACGAGCAGAACTATCACAGCCGGATGCTAAGCGAGCAAAAGCTGCTGACACAGAAGTAAAATAGAGTTTATTTATAAATGAGCTCTTGAACATGAAATAACTTTTACTAAAAGAGATATATAGTTATAATATTATTAATAAGGAAGCTCTTCCTTTAACTTGTATTTATTTCAGATCAGACTAACTTGAAAAGTTGTCTTGCATCGTTTGTTGAGACGTAAGCTCCCACTATCAGCTTTAATTTCAGAGAAACACAATTTGTATTTAATATTGTTTTGCTCCTTTTCACATGTGATCCGCCTTTTCATTGAGTGATTTAATTTAAGTAAAAATGGCACATCTAGTTTAAAGTGTATATTTTATAACAAAGAGTTTGTAGTTATTATATAGCTTACTTTAAGGATAAGAAATATACATGTAGGAAAAAAATATTATTTGTTGCATTACAAGGTTGTTAATTGGATATTTAAAAAGTTGGTAAAGTAGCATTTTTCCTCATACGTATGTCTGCAAGCGGTTTTCAGTCAAGAAACACTGTCAGTGGTGGTTTTGTGAAAGAATTTAACATCTAATATTAGCTTTTTCAACGTTGTTGCAATTACTTTGAAAACAAGGTATAGTGTGTTGCTTTTGGTATGAAAATAGATTTTTCTTCTCACTTGAATAAAACTCATTTTCACAGGAAAGGTTCTCCTTTTTTTGGAACTCAAAAAAGCCTAGCTTGTGGAATTCATTTCTTGCGTAAATTGGACCAAAATTAAAGCAGTAAAGTTTTAGACAAGAAATCAGTGACAACCTTCTCAGACAAACTAATTAGCTTCCTCTCAATATAAATTTTTATGTTCCTAATACAATTAACTGAGATTGATGCTATCTGGATATTTAGCAATTTTTTATCCCAAAGTTAGGTATTATGGCGTGAGAACAAAGCTGAAAAACCTTTTGGCATTGGGAGTTATAGCAATGTGGTAATCATTTGTTACTAAAATTGAGGAATGAGCCACAGTGACCTGATTTTTCTTGTATTTCTCTTAAAAAATTTAGTATACGTGTCCTCAGAGCTGCAAATTAATATAAGCCTTGCAGATTATTTAAGCTTAATTCAGGTCATTGTAGCTCGTTTTATGGGGGCACCCTGAAGCTCATTCTTACTATGAAAGGGCAGAGTGAGGTTCAATTCAGCCACAAAAGCAGTGGAAGTTAAAAAAAACCCTTAAATACTGATCGAGTTAGACAACATTAAATTCCCACCACTAATAATTATTATTGATAACCCCTATGCCAATGGAGAAACACAATTATAATTCAATATTTTGTTGGAAAAAGTATGTTTTAGTTTTCAGTAAAAAAAAATCATTAAGTTCATCCATTTATTTCTTGATCACATGTACTGGCTAACGCAATTACTTATCAGTAGTACACACAATGCATCCATACGTTAGTTGTCTTAATGTCTGAATAACACCTAGTGGCCATATTTGATTTGGTAGCAAATGATTACTACAGGGTGAGTGGGCAAGAAACCTATTTTGTTATCAACAGTCTAAGGCAAGTATTAAAATGAAACCATGTACATGGCTCAAACTAAGAGAGAGATTATTTTAATATCCACATTAACAAGCTTTACCGTTGTGACCGCTAAAACTTAGCCTGTGTGAGTTGCAAGCTTTTCCGTATTGTTGGATTTAACATGTATAAAAATACTACTGTCGTATTCAACCAAATAAGGGGTGGATGTCAATGTCTCTTACCAATATGTGTAGAGATAAATGTACAATACTTTAAAGTTATTTATTTAATACAACTTCAACTTGAGCAAGAACGACGTCTGACACGTGACACAAGCTTCAACAATAGTTTAGAAACTTCAGTGCTACTAGTTTGTTTGCAGTTATCAGGTTACCTTTGTTATTGCAGCTGTTATTTTAAGAATAAATATCAAAGTTGATAAAAGGTGAATGAACATGTTGATTTTGGGAAATCAGGATTGTGCATTATGCCCAATGGACTGGGTGCCAGGGTCTCTATGCTAATATAATCGTGAAAATAATTGAACAACACACCCTAAGGGTCAACCCCTTACCCGTTTATATACCACTTTTGACAGACACAGTATCCCTTTCGTAAACCTTCCATTGAAAAATGGTACCTCTTCAACTTATCTACTAATAATAAGTAAAATCACTAAGAAAAAGGTACTTGTTTGGGGAAAGCCTCCCCATATATAGGCCGTTATAGAAGTGCCCCCCCCCCCCCCCCCCCCCCACCCCCCCACAACAAAAACGGGCGGTGGGTGGTTTTTATAATTAGACAAACAAAACACCCCCCCATCACACCCCCCCCACCCCTCCCCCCCCCCCCACCCCCCACCCCCCCCACAAACCGCACTTTCTTGTCTTTTTCTTCTTTCTACCCCTCCCCCTTTATTTTACCCTTTTGTAGAGACACGTACTCCTTTTGTAAACCTCCCCATTAAAAAAGGGCCCCTCTCAATTTTTATAACAAAAAAAAATAAAAACCCCAAAAAAAAGGGACTTTTTTGGGGAAAACCCCCCCATATTAAGGCCCTTTAAAAAGGGCCCCCCCCCCCCCCCCTGGGATACACCCACAATAACATACTGTGGATGTGGTTTATTTCAAAATGGCATACATGCCAACTCTCTCGGATACGACACCAATCTGCCTGTCCCCCGTACGGGTCACCATATCTTCCGGATAAAATCATCTTGAGATTCTCTGGGCCTTAGTTTGAGATTAAGCCCATTTTTAGCTCGAAACGTGAATTTTTCTTATTCGTAGTACTGTTTCTGGGGCATTTCTGGCATCAAAACGATGATCGCAGCTCTGAGTATGAAAATCTATGATGCTCGTTAATTTATGAAAAAAGGATTCATTGTTGTCCAAAGGCACAAATGCTGCAAGTTGCGAAGAGCCACTGAGCACTAAATGGTAGTAAGAGCTTAGCTCTTAAGCCTCTGTAAAAATCACATAAGATAGGTAATACAATCATAAGTGGAAAGGAATAGACCATTTTTTGTTTTGCTTGTCTCCCCTTTGTGTTTCCATAAGTACAAACACGTGTATATATGTAAGCTGGACTTGCATTAACCCATTCACCCCCCCTGAAGTTTTGCTCAATAGCAAGTTTTTTTTTCCTGGTAATTACTGCCCCCCACCACCACCCCCCCCCAAAAAAAAACAAACAAACAAACAAATAAACAAAACAAACAAACAAACAAACAAACTGCTTAAAACACTGTTAATATCCCACGTTCAATATATTGAACATGACTCCAAGGCTCTGTGGTCATTTTTCTATATTTGGGTTGGTTTTCTTTGTGCTCAAGTCTCTTCTGGGGATTGCGAAACAATGGGGTCGTAATAAAATGGAAATTTTGACCCTAAAGCTTCGAATTCATGTTATTTTAATCCATCGAACGTTTGCTATTAGTTGAACACTTCTATTCCTGATGTAGCCTGTGTACAGGTTCTTCTCAAGGTCGAACTATTCCACTACTCTCCGTCTTCCACCTTTTCTCTTGTCATCTCATCGGGATTTTTATGCCCCTTTCTCTCCATTAATTGACAACCTGTTCACAGGCTATTCCAGATGCTTAATATCAGCTTCTAAAGCAGGCAAAATGCAATGCGCAAAAGACCCACGGTTTTTTTCAAGTTTTGAAAAAGACCTGTAGGTGGAAATCCATTGAAACTGCTGAAAAAAGCGCATTAAATTAACAGAAGTATCCTTTACTCAACTTCAATTTTAACAGGAAACATAAGGCTGGCTTGCATATTGCCCAGAGCTAATCGCAGCAAGCCAGACTGTACAGAGATAACTTCCCTACACATTTTAAAAATACAGAAGATTTACATTAACATAAAATTTTGTGCAACTTGTGTACGCCAGACTTCATGTTATTAAGTAATTAAGAAAGAAAACAAACTAAGGGAATCAGGTCAAGCAAAATGAATATGCGAAGAGGAAACCAACAAACTGAACTGAAATATTTATTGGAACAGAACTCGAGTTTACATTAAATTAGGGGTGCTTAGAAAACGAAGACCCTCAAGACGAAGCTCTCGAAAACGAAGACCGAAGCACGAAGCACCCAAATCTCGAAAACGAATCGAAGCACCCAAGTCATGAAAAAGAAACAATCAAGACTCGAAACCTGTCTGCCCTTTAAAAACACGTGACAGTTCCTTGTCAAGTCACCAATGCTAATACAGCAGGAATCAAGCACGATAACGAGTAGCGAGTAGAATGCAGTTCAAAACTATTCAAGTAGAACTGCGAGGTGTTGCAAATGCATATCCGCCGCCCTGACTAAATTTTAAAAAGTGACGACTTCTGTTTTGGACGTGATCAAAGTGTATTACTGGCTACCGTTTCCACTAGGCCAAATACTAGCTGAACATATTCTTTCTATGTTTTTTTTACAAAACTAGGTAAACATGACATCTGTTTTCTAACTACGTTTTCACTGTGAAATTTTACCCGGAAATTTCAGCCAGTGATCAAGCGATTCAAATTGTAATAGCGCGCAGCTTTCGAAAATGGTGGAAGAGAAAGCGCTTTGTTAGTCCCAGGCTATTATCCGAGAAGAAAGTGTCATAGATACCCAATATGTCGTCATAAACATGTATGTGTACTAAAAAATATGCTTATTAAGATAAGATGAGTCAAGTATCTGGAGACTACAGGACTTCCTATCTAGAAACGTTCAGTTAAACAGGACAGTGGCAGGCTTAAAATAAAACCTGGGGATGGATTTGTGGACCTTTAGGGGTACGGACGCATCCGTTGCCTCCACCTGGTTCGGCCGCTTGCGTCATGCAAGACTTAAAGTTGTAGTTCTTCAACCTACAGTGGTTGCGTTGGGTGCTTCGTTTTCGAGATTTGGGTGCTTCGTTTTCGAAACTACCGAAAACGAAGACCCCCCTTGAAATCACTTCGAAGCTAGTAACTACTTCTAGACACTGGAGGAGTGTTCGAAACATCACGATCTTTCCGTTACCTTTCAGCCAAACGAAGGTAAGAGAAAGTTAGAGAGGCAAGAAGCCCGCAGCGAAGAGGCGCAAAGATGTTAAGGCTTGGGGGGAGAAGTGAGGACCTTGCACATAATTCTCGCTTGGCTAAAAGGGAACGGAAAAAATTTCTACGCAGGCTATAAATGATTTGGTGGGGGGTCTTCTTTTTCTAGTTCTAGAAAACGAAGACCCTGGTCAAAATTTTGGATTGAAACCCGTGTTGTTTCTTAGACTCCCCTAGTGTCTAGAAGTCTAGAAGTAGTTATTAGCAGTTTCGAGCCGTTTCCAAGTGATTTTAAGGGGGTCTTCGTTTTCTGGACACCCCTAAATTAGCAACTTTTTCAAAGTATAGGAATTCTCGGGGTAGAAAGGTATTGCACGCTTCCTTGCTTGAGCAAAGTTGGGCACGTTTTTCGAAGATTAAGGAGGGTTTTAGATGCATTGCCCTAAGATATTAAACCATACATTATACAGGGTGCAATGAGAGACTTGTAAATATCAAGAAGGTTTCCAGTTGGAACAATATGCTATAACTTCGCAATAAAGACAAACAGTTTTACTTATGAAATGTTGTGAGGGAACAAATATGGTTTTTCCAAGAGAGATTTTCATCAATTAATAATCCAAGGTATTTAATGCAGTTCTTTTGTTCAAGGTTAACAATTTTATGTTTTTCATTATCAAAAATATTAATCTGTGGTTGATAGTTGAACTTTTTATGGACGAACAAAGTTAGATTTTTTATGTCGAGCGTAAGTTTGTTTGAGGTTAGCCAATTAAAAAGACTTTGCAATTCTGTATTTACAATTGACTCCAATGTCTTAAGGACGTTAGTATCATCTGCAAGGAGGAAAAACTCAAGTTTTTATTAACGTATAGTAAAAAGAAGAGTGGCCCTAAAACAGACCCTTGTGGTACACCGCAATTAACGTTTTGTTTGTAAGAATTATTTTCACAAGTGTTTGTGTCGATTAGTTAAATAAAAGAAAAACCACTAATTAACAATCTCTCGAAAGCCATAATAATTAAGTTTATCAAGTAATATTTTATGGTCCACAGTATCAAAGGCTTTCTTAAGATCAATGAACCCTCAACAGGAAAAAAGTTTTTTGTTTTTTGTCCATATTGGTACGGATAGATTCAACGATATCAAGTATGACATGTTCAGTCGAATGTGCTCGGCAAAACCGTATTGGGATGAAGATTGTCAGTTATGTGTTTGTCAATGAAACCTTTCGCTCTGTTGTACATAATTTTTTCAAAAATACTGTTGAAGTTTGACAATAATGAAATTAGTCTGTAATTGCAGGCATCAGTCTCATCATCAGCTTTGAAAATTTGTATAATTTTAGACATTTTCAGTTTGGAGGGATAGTTACCTAAACTGACAGATGTCACTGGTTGAGAATATTTGCAAGGATAGGAGATATTATGTCACAAGGGTGTTTAAGAAGCTGTGAAGGACAAGATATACAGGTCATGTGATTTATTGTTTGGTATAGATAGAATTTCAAGTTTAACTTTATGTGAAGTAACAGGATTAAAGAAATACAGTATGTTGCCCAGTATCCGGCCACTTAAAACAAAAACTCAATTTTTGAGGCGCCCTTTTCAGTTCTCGGTAAACGAAGTATTTCGAATGAAAGTTGAACATTTCAGCTTTAAGATGAAAGTTTTGGCGAAACAGTCGCAGAAGACGCCGTTCTGTTCAGGTATTTACGGCCCAGTAAAATTAGTGCTGCTCAGAGAAGGGTAGGTAATATGCGATATTTTCAAAGAAACTGTTTTATATTTAAAGTAAAGATACTTAAAGAAGTCTGAGGCTCTCAGAAATTTTATTAATTCTTCTTGGAATTTGATTTGTTTGGAATAACGGAGGCCAAAAACATTCACTAAGTATTGCTGTCAGTTGCCCAGTATCCGGCCAGTTTTTTTCTTTGCTGTACAGAATCGATTAATTAGTTGCGTACATTATCCGGATAAGATTGATTTCATATCTATAACTATAATTAAAGCTTAGGATATATGATATAATCGTAGAGTGTAATTCTACTCAACTTCTTATAGAAATTTACTTCACTCATTCAGAGGCGACTTGATTTCGTGTGCACAGCTTGTTTCATCGCGTGACTGCACTCTCTACAAGCGACAGAGTTAAACCGGGAATTCTTATACCTTCCCCAGTTGTGACTGCTAGAATGGGGTTGCAACGGTCTGAAAAATGTCTGTAAGGGATTGAGAGATGCAAAAGAAGGAGGAATTAGTGCTAGAAAAGCAGGCCAAATGTGGGGACTGAGCATGAAGAAATCAACACTGCAGGTCAGACTAAATAGGAGAGTGACCTTTGACCGTCAGATTGAGGTCCCTTCGCCAGTCTCTTTTTTTAAAGAAAAAACGAAGGAAAAAAACCTGTTTGCAGATAGGCTAATCGAGCTTGCAAACCGCGGCTTTGGCTCGTCCACGGATGCGTTCCTTAAATCAGTGAAAGAGTTCCTAGACAAGGAAATAAGAACTATACCATTTAACAGCCGCTCGCGTTCCCCACCAGCCACCATACGCCAGTTATTTGCTATGTTTTATTTCACGATGCTAGGTTCCCAGATAGATTTATATTTTTGGAATCGATTGCCAGACTACTTTGCAAGTGCAAGGGAAGCTTATAAGTCGCTTGCCTGCCGAAGTTTATGTACACTTACGTTGTTGTTGTTGTGGGCCGATACTGGGCCAGCTGTCCGGATACTGGGCAACATAGGAGCTCTGCAAAAATATTAATTTCGCGATGGAAACCAAGGTAAAAAAGTTAAACTGTTAATACCAACCCTTAACTGTTGTAGTAAGAACCATATCTAATGCCAAATTTTAATAATTTTATTCAAAGAGTTTATTCAGGAGAGATGCATGCTATAACTTTTAAAAGGAAAGCTTTTTGTTAATAACTTTTACAACCAGAAAATGTACAACATATATTAATAGATCTCGGGCACAACAAGGTAGCCCACACCCAGCCATGAAGGTGACACATTAACATGAGAGTAATCACTAGTCCATGCTCAACTTTTACACTTGTGTGCGACATTTTCATGTAACACCTCTAATCAATTTAATCACAAAAAGCTAGTTAAAAAAATTGTCCATGTGCAGGTAAAAACTACACGACAGTGAAAATCCACCTTGACCAAGTGCAGATATTTTTAGTTTCTTTATATATCTAAACATGACAACAACATGATCATGCTACGAGCTTAGAAGTTACCATATTACAATCATAGACTATATATTATTGCTTCACAATTAATCAGTTGACAAAAATGATACTAATTCCAGCTAGAGATTTCCTACCCTTACTTCGATCTACATGTAAGACTGAATAACCTCACTTGTCAATTCCAGCGCACACTGCCTGAACAACATTCTCTTTACAATATAATAAATTTTACTGGTACAGTAAAATTCAAATTTCTTGGTGTAATCTTCTTTGGTAGATGATTGTATTAATAGCCATCTAGAATTTCAGAAAATAATACTAATAAAGAAAAACTCTTCCTTTGATCTACACATTTGAAACAATACAGGTTATGTAGCGACTATACATGCCAGCTAGCATACCCTAATTCGTGGCAAAAAGAAAAACATGCATCATCATAATAATAATAATCATGATCATAATAATAAATAACAACAATAATATCTGAATAAAAACACCACAATTACTTAGCAATGACAGAGCAGTTTTCATCTGAGCCTAAAAAGAATTAACTTGTTTGGTCAGTCAACTGGGTAACACTGAAACAAAGCACAGTCATCCAAAAAACTCAAGGCAATTGAGAAGATCTGAACAACTGCTTTAAAAAATTTGTATAGACTTAGTTTTATCTAGGTGAATGCAATTGCCAAAATCATCTGTATTGTCCTGTGTCTCATCAGAGGTGTTTCCTTATGATCATCCTGATTGCATTGCAAGGCCATATTTTGACATAATTTGAGCAGTCGAGACAATTCAGATGATTACATGGAAAGAAGGCTTTAGAAATACTGTTGGGAGCCTAGCTGTGACCCTACAAAATCCGGTATACCCATGACACATTATGCTTTGTGAAAAAAAAACTAAGATTTCCCAGTCGTCCACGGGCAATTAGCAAGTCATCATGCAGGGGTCACCTGCCTTTTTTCTACACAATAAAGACCACAGTGATAAACATAGACAAGCAAGTCATAGCTGGTGTTGATTTCATTACTTTTCATGCTTAGATAAACATAAAATTAGTGTACTAAAAAGTTCAAGATACCCTGTGAGAAGTGGTTTCTTCAGGCTGGACGCTATGTAATGAAGAAAAACCGCCGCACACGACCACTTGTTTCTTGGATCAAGCCGCCGTCCGGCGCCGTGGATAAATAAAATAACTTTGAACAGGTAAAAATCGTTTTGAAACAAGTTAAGGCTCTTGTGCATTTGCCTATGTTTATAACTTTTGACTTAATGCAAGCCTGCTGTGAATTTGATCTGTTTTAGTCTTTGTCGTGGATATTCCTACACAATTACTTTGTCAAATGTAGGAAAACTAAACTGGAGTTAAATATTCCTACAGACATGTTCAAGTTCAGCAAGAGAAATAAACTTTGGTCACCTCATAGTCACGCAAAAAAAAGAGTGATGTAAATGCAAAGTTGTTGTTTTGCTTACTAAACCTGTTGCTTTTTGACGTTCTCATTGCTGTCACATTGTTGGATCTTAGAAACGCTAATTTTTCCTGCAAATCAAGTGATGTCATTTGATGTTTTTGACACAAGCGTCACGTGGATACACATACTCGATGGAAAAGCAAACAGTCACTTGCAGTAGTTTCTCTCCCTCTGTAGTGTTAGTGTAGCGTCCAGCCTGGAGAAATTACTGTTCGCAGGGTATCAAAAAGAGTAAAATTAATCATGGTTATAGTTATAGTCAAAAGTACACAATTCAAAACTGCTCCGAACAATGTAAACATTCTATGAAAAGACATTGTTGAGCTGCATAGTAACACGAATGAAGGTAGTTCTTCTTGGAAGCTCCTTCAGTTTCTCAGCTCCAACATATGTACATGTTGAACGCACTCCACCAAGGATATCTTTCACAGTGTCATGAACATCACCACGATATGGCACCTCAACAGTCTTGCCTTCTGAAGACCTGGAAATAAGTGTACAAGTTTAATTGACTCGTACTGAAATCTACTCACAGGAAATCAATAAAGTAACACAATGTTGTCAGCTAATTAAGAAACTTAAACTGGCCAAACAATGATAATCAAAAACTATGCTTTCATCAAAAGTGTATCAAACTGTAATCAACTTGCATTTGTAATCTCTTCAACTAAAACTTTTTATTAAAATGAGGCACTCTTCAGACAACAGAAACAGATAAAATACAAATTATATCCTTAAGCAAAAGTGAGCTATTATGTTTGCTTTAGGGAACAAAACAAACCTGTAATTAGCTACTCCCCCAGCATGCCTTTTCATGGCTGTTGTTGAACTCATGCCATAAAATATCTTGTATTTTTTCCCATCTCGCTCTATTAACTCCCCACCTGTACAAGTTAATAAAGAAGTACATGTTAATAAAAGTTGTGCATTGATTAACTCCCCTCAGTCAATATTTATGTAGCCAGTATATGCGAACAGTGCTACACTAACCTTCAGATTGTTTTGAATACCTAACAAAATCTCTACTTAAATCAAGGCACCCCGAAAATTCCAACCCCCCAAAAATCCTTTGATCATCCCTGTCACTTTCACTACAAGCTACCCTCTCAGGGGATTAAACGCAATGTACGATATCGTTGGTTTGTAATTGTAACAATGTTCTCACTGCCAAAACACATAACAGGTGGCCATAGTAACTGTCTGTTGCAATCTTACCAGATTGATCATGACCAGCAAACATTCCTCCCATCATCACAAAGTCAGCACCAGCACCTTAAGAATAAAATCATTTCAATTTATGCCCAGCCTCTTTTTTATCCGTTTGAGTGAGAATAAAAAGAGATTTGCCTGAAGCAGGGGTTTCATTAAGGTTTTGAAAAGGAGGGCAACTGGGTTTGACACACAGGCAAAGAATTGGAAAGGCACTTTGGGTCTTCCCCCATAGGAAGGGCCAGGGGTGCTCCCCTGGACAATTTTGAGATTCTAGAGTTTCCTGCATTCTCAAGCTGCAGACAATGCCTTTCAACTAACAAAAAAGATAACTTTTCTAAACAATTTAATCATGATTTTATACCAATATCCACCACACAAATTAGTTCACAATCTTATTGAGATATTTCCGATGATCTTTGATGGAGTACGCTTCTTTTGCAATGCATTATGAGGTGATTCTTGTTTTTAGCATGTAACAGACAAGGGGATTTACTGATTTCATGCCGCATGGGAAATATGTTTTTGCACTTGACAAGACTCATCATTTACTTAAAACTAATTTTGATTGTTTGTTGTATTAAAAAAAGTTCTTTGAGAAGTTAAGCAGCCGGTCAATTTGCTAGGTGCCCAGCCCCTGACCCTTAATGAAACCCCTGCAGTGAAGCATGTTGAGCGTTTGAAGTAACCAAAGCCTGAAATTCTGGACTACTCGATCTTGCTCTCTATTATGGAACTGGTTTCTCAAGTGTGAGCACCCGAAAATTGATTAACTGATGGTCATAACTTAGACAGTTGTATCAGTACGCCTCGGTTCACAACTGTATCCCAGCACCAACCAGCACATGCTCAACAAAGATCTTACTCCACTTCATGCAGCATCTTTCGCAGGTACACCAGTATCAAACAAGTGAAAGAAAGATTCTGCTACCAGTATGGTTTATAATTAATGACAAATTATGAACTGCAGTGCCAATCAAATTATCATAATTTCAGAATATTAATTACTCACCACCTAGTATATTGAATATAAAACCAATTACCTAATGTTTGGATGTGGGGCTTTTGACTCAGGGAAAATGTTAGTGTTCATCAACTCTTTAAGTAGTGATAAGAAAATTATCTCCCTGCATTAATAAGGCTCAGAAATATTTACACTTCCTCTGATAAATGATTGCTTTGAAATCAGCTTTAATGCTTATGATAACTTTCACCCAAGGTTTCCACAATAACAGTACAAAACTCGTCTACTCACAAATCATATGATAATTCTACAACATACCGCACTACACACATTTCCATTCTACCAGTTACGATTTATGCGGATACATTTACAGTGGAATGTCATCACATTGAACAGAGTTCTTACCAAAAGCTTTAGACACATCACCAGGACAAGTGCATCCACCATCCTACAAGACACATCTAAAATTACCCAGGCCTGTGTTTACACTTTGATTCTAATGGGAGAATGTCACTTATCCATTGACAGAGGTGTTTTATGTATAATACAGACAGAATGCCAATTAGACCATTCCCTACCCCCTCAAAATTAGGCATGTAACAATACATTAAACTACCAATGGATTGTGTGATAGTGTCTCAATAGTAATGCATTAAATTTAATAAATAATATATATATTACCCTGTACTACAGACATCTTCACTTTCATAAATTTACAGATAGCAATTTTTTACACAACTAAAAAAATGGAATTTAAAGGCTTGTTGCTTGGGCAAGATCCCTTTCCCAGGACAATTATTTCCTTGTCTTGGTTAGTATCATAATGGCTTGACTGGCCTCTAATTTGCCCATTGGGCAGGTGAGCTATCATCAGTTGATTGCCCAGCAAGAAAATCTACTAGTGCTGGACGGTACCGCAAAAGACTTTTTCTAGCCCTGGTTACTCGATTGTTTTCAAATAATCTTTTGTAAATCACTTTTCTTGCATAAAAGAGGCACATCCTTTCTTCATGGTTTGCCATTTTCTTTTGAAATCAAGTAAACAAACATGGATTGTAGATCCATGAAAGCAGAAATGGACTTTACTGACACTGCTTTGTTTTGTAAAAGTTGTTGCCAGGACATGTTCCGAGTTCAAAATGATGGCCAGTGGAATTTCTGCATAAATTATACCTCACTTCAAGGTGAAATCAACAATGATAAGACCATTATTCACAATTACAATGTTATTGCAACAGTACAGAGTACAGTTGAAGCTCTGAAAAGCAGCCACCTCAGAAATTCGAAAAAAGTGGTTGTAACTGGAGCTGGTCGTTTACAAGAAAATGAGCCCTTGTAAATTGACCGCATGGTAAAACAAAAGAGGATGGTTGCTTACAAGAGCTTTGGAAACTCATTATAATTAATAACAAAAAAATATTAAAATTAATAAAGAAATAAATGTTTAATGAGTATCTTTATATCTGATATAGATCTAGACACGGTTATAACTTTACATCTAATTTTTTAGACAATTGATTTTTATGGAAAAGACTTTGAGTGATGCTTATGAGAGCTTAAAAACAAAAGACAAGTTCAGTTGGGTCATCCCAAAAGTGGTCACAGACAAATACAGAAGCAGTCGCTTACGAGAGCTTTTTATTACAAAGTTTATATAAAGTCACAGTTCAAATGGGGTTTCACAAATGTGGTCATAACAAGAGCTGGTCTCTTGTGAGAGCGGTCACAAGGAGAGCTTCGACTGTACTTCATTACTACTGCAATGGTTAAAGTAACCTCAATAGTCACCTCTATCTGAGATAAATACAAGTAGGTAACATAAAAAAGGCATTATACTGTACATACAGAAATGATATGTCCATTGAGTCCATGGGCAGCATCAGCACATTCTAATACTGCACTAAGTTGTGGATATCCTACACCAGTCTGACGACGCGTGGTACAGACAGACCCTGATGAAACAACAAGACACACACCAAAAGATTGCCAAACAGGTTGACCAACACATTAAGAACTGTCATAAATCTGATCTACAGGAAGCCCAAGCAGTATGTAGAGTAGAATACTGAAATCACAATATTACTGTATCTTGGCATTCTAAACACAGCTGGCAATTAAGACGGGGTAAATACACTACAGTACTAACCTGGGCCGATACCAACTTTGACAACATCAGCTCCATTAAGGATCAGTTGTTCCACCATCTCACCTGTCACAACATTTCCTGCCTATAGTAAATGAAAAAAAAAAAAAAAAAAAACATGTCAGACAGTACAGAATGAGCTGACAAAACAATATATAACTGTACAATAATATCATGACAAAAAGAAGAAACATGTTTCCTATAATGCAAATTTGGATCTGCATTGAAAGACATTTTAAAACAAATGTAAAAAGGGGTAAGCAACAAAGAGTACCATCACTGAGAAGTATGCAAATAATAAGTGGCCTCAAAATGAGGAACTAGAGAATTCAGTTGATTGAAAAAAATACTAAGCATTCAAATTTAATTTTTTCAATACCATGATAATGTGCTCCGGGAATTTGCTCCGCACATTTTTGACAAATTCTACAAAGTGCTCAGAATAACCATTGGCCACATCCAGACAGATTGCAGGCACAGCAGGGCAAGCATCAAGGATCTGCTTTAATCTAGCAACGTCTTCATCCATCATCCCACAGCTAGCAATCACATACTGTGAATTCAATGCAGCATTTTTATATTGATGCTTCAAATAGACCTTATTCATGATACGCGCTTTAGGATGGATGGGATAAAAGCCATGTCACGTGGTATTTAGGGGCAAACAAAGGATAAAATTTGCCAATGAAAGAAATTGCAGTCCAGTTTGTTTATTCCCTCAAAACGAAACAATGATTTAATGGTCATGTAAAATGTACAGTTTGAGTTTCGACAACATTAATGTCATTATTGCTTGCTGTGAGGACATCTATGGTCACTGCTGCATCCAGAAAAAAAAATTATTACTTCCACCCATAATTTGCCATTATCATCTTTAATAGAAGCATATAATAAGGTAATGCATTTTCCAAGTTGTTCGAAATTTGAATGATGCTTTGTAGTCATCCACTAGACAACCATTAACTCAGTGTATAGCATTGTCCACTGTCTGGGGCCTGGACATCAAGTTTGAATGTTCAATTGAACTTTTCCAGGTAGATGTGATTGGTATTAAGTTAAGCAATGTTAAAAAATGTTCATTTTCAGTTTCATCACTTATTTCATTTCAGTTACTTGTGTTAAGTGTTGTAATGCCCGCCATCTTTGCACTCGCTTAAGGACTGATGGGGTAAAAGCGATGTCACATGGATTCTCAGGGGGTAAATGTTGTGGTTCAATTTTATCCTTGGTTCAAATTTTATCTCCCTTTGTTTTAAACTCATTATCATACATTACCATACCCCAAAACAAAGGGAGATAAAATTTGAACCAAGGATAAAATTGAATCACAACATAAACAAGTGATAAATTTTTCCAATACAAGAAATGGCGGTTGAGTTTGTTTATTCTTGACAACAGAAAATGAACGACTTTTTATAGAGATAATCAGCTAAGCCTAACAAAATATCTAGATGTCATAAAATAAAAAATGAAGTTACCGGTAATACATCTGGGTGGTCTTTAGCAAACTCTTGCCATTCTTCCACAGTGTAATGCTTGTGAATTGCTGTTAGAAGCTTGTGCTAAAAATTCAGTGTTAAACAAATAGAGACCTTAAGATCAGACCAAGGTGATGGCAATGAGAACTTCAAAAGAGCCATAGGTTTAAGACTCAAAACAGCTCTGCATGTGCAGTACTTTTTTGACATTTCTTTGCCTTCACTGCTAGATTACAAAGTGAAAATGTCCCATTTCACATTTTGTCAAATATGAAACAAGCCATACATGACAAACTTTACTTTCTCTTTCTGAACTTGGATATGGTCCTTAGAATTCAACTGCAACAGAGTTGCCAACAATTCGGTTCTAAGTAAGTGAGTTGGAATATTTGCGATAAAGACCGAAAGAATGTGAATTCACTTTTTCAGCAATTTTTTCACTGCCGTTACCATCCTCAGATCTTACTGGACATCCCTATAGAGTACTAAAGTGTGACATCATAAAAATGAAATTTCTGAAATTATGGGATTTGTCAGGATATTCTGAAAGAACAATGTCCAAGAGGCCTACTTGCCAAAAATAAGCATTTGGGGGCAAATTGTCTCTGAGATCGTGGCCCAGTTATGCTTACAAAACTCCATACAAACCCTTCTAAATTGTTTTTGGGTCGACCCAAGAAAAAATTAGAAGGGTTTGTATGGAGTTTTCTGAGTATAACTGGGCTACGATCTCAGAGACAATTTGCCCCCAAATGCTCATTTTTGGCAAGTAGGCCTCTTGAACATTGTTCTTTCAGAATATCCTGACAAATCCCATAATTTCAGAAATTTCATTTTTATGACGTCATCACTTTAGTACTCTATTGAGCATGACATTTATTGAAAGAGGGGAGAACAGGGGAGGACATTGAACATTATACTCCTACTGTACTGCCAACGACAACTTGAAAGAGCTCAGATATTTTTTCTTTCTTAATAGCCTGTATATCTTGATCTTGAATGAATCTTGAATCATTAGGGAATGACTTTATACATTCAGGTTTAGTATGTACACACTCAGTGATCTTGGTGATTTAAGCAATTTGATTGGTTCACTATCTCGGACTATTTAACAATATTCATCTCCCAGCGAGTGGATAATGAGTGAGCTCGGTGTTTTTCCCATTTTTTTTAGAGAACGATCTTTTAAAAGTCGACAAAGTCATAGGGCTGACTTTTTTTAAGGCATGAAAAGACTTGAAAGGATTCAAAATGGCCTTTTTCATTTACTGTAGCTGTGTTTTATGCTAGATGGATTGTTTACAACTCCCGTTTATTTGCGTAGAAGAAGCCATTTCGTGAACTCAGCATTTCTTAACAAGACAATTTGGCCCAAAAATTGAAGTTTATTTATGACAAACAAATTTGAAAGCAAATGTTTGCAAAAATTCTAAGTTTCAAGTAAATAGGAAAAAGAATGGTACAGGAAGACGTCTTACCTAAGTCTTACCTCGAGCAACCGAGCCACCGTTTTTGTCAGCACTTTATGCGAAGAACGACACAACAAACCTTTTTGGCTATAAACTTGGTGAGTCAACAGAAAACAACAAAGCTCTACTTTTCTTCTCAGGTAAGGAAACAATTCAAACTTTTAACAGTTCCATTTAAGCCATTACGCTGTTGTTTGCAAAGTGATAAACTTGTGAATCGCCATGTTTGAAAATTCTGCAAAGATCTATTTTTAAACTTTTGCGTGATTTGATCCATCAATCAATCATAATTTTTAATGGTTTCCTCTCTGATTTTGTTGAGATCACTTTGTGTGTATATACTAAAACAATTATTCTCTATAATCTTGGTGAATAGTGGCTCTAGGAATATTTACCTCGCCATTTTGTGCCTCGGTAAATATTTAGCTACTATTTACCTAGATTTCAAAGAATCATTGTTAAGTATCAGGAGGAGCAATTTACTGAACATGATGCAAAGGCTCAAACTGGCTGCAGAACATTCAAAACACAAACACCCTAAATCATAACGGTGTACGGTGAATGAATTAACCACTTCTGGCCATAGTGACACACCCCCTCCTAACCTACGTTAAATCCCACCCCAACTATTTACAGCTTGTTTATAACTCAAGAAATCTATTTATCATGAGAGTCATATGAATGGCTCCAAGAGTGGGAAAGCTGAGGCCAGTAATATGTTCTGACTGGCTATTGGGTAATTTTTGGATTCTCTGATGGGACTTAACTTGGCCAATATCCAGCCATCTTGACCTGGCCCCAGTTGTTTGAAAGCTGGATAGCACTATTTACCAGGCCCCAGTTGTTCAAACGCTGGATAGCGCTATCCAACGTTTGAACAACTGGGGCCAGATAAATTGCTATCCAGAGGATAAGTATTACGACAACCAACTGCGCTATCCAGTGGATAGTTATTTATCCACTGGACAATGCTAACCACCTTTCGAACAACTGGGGCCTGGCGTTTAGTCGGTAATTCATAAGATTATCAAGACTCCTTATTTTTGTAACAATGAGATGTTTACCTCTGCTAAAGCCATGGCCATTTCAAATGTACCAATGGTATCCATATTAGCACTTATAATGGGAATGATGTCATCAGGAAGTCTCTTCTTTGCATACTTAAAGTTGAAATGTCTGCAAAGTTCAACCTGTAAAGCGATATATCCCAATACTGTACGGTCGGCGCAAACATCAAAGCAATTTTAATGAACACATCAAGATCTCGGTAAAAACACATTTATGGCGCGTTAAAAAACACGATCGGCTAACTTTTCTGAGCAGTGATGGATCTACAATGATTCGCTTGAAATTCTAGGGACTGTCCACAACTAGCATGGGTGTACTAAATAACTTCGATTCTATGCACGTTCACGTTAAGTTCGATTGTACTGCATAGTTATACTTACATCAGCTCGACTTCGAATTGTACTTCGCTTAGGACGAATTAAAACATCTTTAAAGTCCAATCTCACACTGTGATCTAAATGTGGCATTCTTCTGAAAATCAGTAAACACGGCAAACAGACAAACTGAATTGAAGTTAGCAAATGCAAGTTGATGCACGTAAAAAGGCGCTAAAATCGAAGTTCATCACGTGGTAAGAAACTTGTACCCAGTTTGCGCACTGAATGCTCGTGTTAAGCGAGAGAAAAACACATTCATACCTTCCGAGGGTTTTGGCTTCGGTTTCAGCTTCAGTTTATTTGTGCCTCTTAAAATTATCAGTCTAATCATGGTACAAGTAGTCATAGTCTGTTTCAGGGCCGTAACAAGCCTTTAGAAACTAGTGGGGTGGGCACAAAGATTTTAGCAGAGGGTTTTGGGTCCGGGAGGCCTGAGGACCCATTGGACTGGTCTCTGTAACTTAAAACCAGAAAATGTTTCACCTAACTGCAGAGATATCATTGTTTCAATGCTCTGGGAGATGAAGTTTTATTTTCAACTTTTATGCGTGCATGTTTTGAGATTTTGGGGCAAGGGGGGCACGGGTTCCCTCGGCCCCTCCCCGTGCTACGGCCCTGTTGTTACCGTTTCCCTGGCCGTTCTGGGCTAGGCCATAGACGGCTAGCAAGGTCACGGTGCTTAGCGAAATACGGTACAAAAAAAATAAATATCAGCTGGAGCGAATTTAATAAATGAAGGACAAACGAGCAACCTCGTCGCGTCGTCCCTGATATCAACCAATCGCATCGTTTTATCGAACAAATTGTTTTAGCGCGTGCGTACACTTTTGGCGCGCAAGTTCAACGGAGGATGCGCAACATGGCCGATGCTATTTATGAGGTAGGTTTTAACAATACTGACACAATTTTTCTCATTTCTGCTTTTTGATGCGACCCGATCCGTTCAGTTTTTCCTCCACATAGGTACTAGTTCTTAAGGTTTGATCTGATTAATTTAAAAGACAATATTGGTGTTTTTTGTTACTTTATTTCTCCTCTTTTAAACAGGTCATTCATTGACAGTGCCAAACTAAAGTTTCACTTCTTCAAGGAGGAATTATTATGCATTGTGCTCATTTGTCGCTTTCTACTTGTTATTTGGAACGATTTTTATCGCTATTTATGTCCAGTTTTCTGATGTTACTCGAACATTTAGAGGCTTTATCTTGTCTTTAATATACATTTTTAAGTTTTCGTTTGCGACAGCTCACTTCCAAACTAACACGTGTGACTTTGTTTTTGTTGTAAGCTTATAATCCTTCACATTATAAAAATTGTTAAGGGCTGCCTTGTCCCAGAATTTAACGTGTGGTACTTGTTTTTTAAACAAGAGAATTAGCGTTAAAGTTATGAACGTGGTGTATTTGTGTACATTACAGATTTTTTTAATTGATCCAGGTTGATAAAGTAATTGGACGGAGAAGGACATCCAAAGGAAAGGAAGAATATCTGGTCCACTGGAAAAATTACGATCGTCTTTATAGTACTTGGGAACCTGTTGAGAATTTAACTCCCTGTCTTCATACTGTGACTGAATTTATGGCAAAGTCCTTTCCAATGCCAGGTAAAAAACAGCAATTAACGAACCAACGTCATAAAACGCCCTGGTTGATTTTTCTCAAACGTATTTTCATTTATCTTTATTGTTATTTTTATACTTGTTTTTATTTTCCATGTATTGGATTAAGAAAGAAAATCATACTCTCATCTTCAATCATCCCACAGTAAATAGATGTAAGTTAGGTGACCTGCAAATTGCAGCATATCCTATGACCCAGATCAAACGCCAGGCCGCTGATGTCTTGAACTAGACTTGCTACAAGTCGACCTCCCATAAGTTGTTAAAAGTGAGCAAAGCAAGCTGCAGTACATGAAGGTCGCTGCGCGACCGAACGAGCAACAAAGTCTTGAGGTCGACTTGTTTCACCTAAATGGAATTGAATCATATTATAAATTCATGCAGGAAAAAAACGATCAACATATGCTGTGTCGGGAGTGGCGTGAAATATCACTCACTGTCCTATTGGTCAATTGTCATGATGTCACCGGTACAATTTTCAACCAGTGAATTTCGCGCCAAACATGTATAAAACGTCCTTTAAAATGGCATAACTATGCAACCATGAAACAAATAAAGCCCTCTCAGAAAGTCTAGTGTTGAGCCTAATTGATGAGTTATTTAACAAGTATTGAATTCAGCTTTCCTATCATTTGAAGAATTATGGAGATTGAGGAGGGTGTTATCCGCCAAGGACGTAGGTCAAGGAGAATAACACCCTCCTTGATCTCCATAATTCTTTCAATGATACAAGAGCCAAATTCAATAATTGTTTTATTATTCATTCAAAATAATTCCTAGTTTTAAAACAAGCTAACACATGCTTATAAAAGATGAACTTATTATTGATGGAGGTAGTGCATGTTTATCTGCAAGTTTTGGAGATAAAGAGTTCTTCAGGTGTGCAAATATTCTCCAAATAGCAGATGTTGTCCGTCGAGTTGTCTTCTTGCTGTTCTTGCCATGCTTTTTGAAAATATTTTGCCTTGAAACAAGTAAAATGTCCCGCCATTTTGTACTCGCTACCAAAACAACTCAAACTCATCCCCAGGTCTTCTGGGGTAATGGATCAATAATCTGTCAATTTTGCTGCATGATAGAGGTCATCAGTTCAATATCACAAAATTCTTTCACATTTGGTCAACAATATCTTGTTATGATGAATTATGCATGAGATTTTAGCCAATCAGATACAGAGAAATATTTTAATTGAATAATAAAACAATTATTAGGTGAGGATTTTGTGTGATGTGGAATTATTTAATAAGTTTGAGGTGTAAGTAGAATCATAACGCACCATTGCGTGGAACACAGTTTAACATTGCTCTTTGAAATCATAAACAACAACTCCATGGCATTTGAAGAAATTATTCAATGAATTTAGAAGCAGAGTGGATTTGATTGTGACATGATTAAGCTGACAAAGACTATTAACTCTTTCCACACTATAAAGTGATATTTCATTTCATTGGTTGTTTTTTGATTGTTTGAACCAGTTTCATTCAGCACATGAGTGGCTTGGCAATTGAACAATGCCATTTGAGTTGATAAGGTAGATTGGCCACCATAAAGGGATTAAGAAACTCATGTTTCAACGCTAGTCCTTTTTCAGAGCATTTCAGAGAAGCTTGTGCTAAAAATTCAGTGTTAAACAAATAGAGACCTTAAGATCAGACCAAGGTGATGGCAATGAGAACTTCAAAAGAGCCATAGGTTTAAGACTCAAAACAGCTCTGCATGTGCAGTACTTTTTTTGACATTTCTTTGCCTTCACTGCTAGATTACAAAGTGAAAATGTCCCATTTCACATTTTGTCAAACATGAAACAAGCCATGACAAACTTTACTTTCTCTTTCTGACCTTGGATATGGTCCTTAGAATTCAACTGCAAGAGAGTTGCCAACAATTCAGTTCTAAGTAAGTGAGTTGGAATATTTGCGATAAAGACTGAAAGAATGTGAATTCATTTTTTCAGCAATTTTTTCACTGCTGTTACCATCCTCAGATCTTACTGGACATCCCTATTAAGCATGACATTTATTGAAAGAGGGGAGAACAGGGGAGAACATTGAACATTATACTCCTACTGTACTGCCAATGACAACTTGACAGAGCTCAGATATTTTTTTCTTTCTTAATAGCCTGTATATCTTGATCTTGAATGAATCTTGAATCATTAGGGAATGGCTTTATACATTCAGGTTTAGTATGTACACACTCAGTGATCTTGGTGATTTAAGCAATTTGATTGGTTCACTATCTCGGACTATTTAACAATATTCATCTCCCAGCGACTGGATAATGAGTGAGCTCGGTGTTTTTCCCATTTTTTTAGAGAACGATCTTTTAAAAGTCGGAAAAATCATAGGGTTGACTTTTTTTAAGGCAAGAAAAGACTTGAAAGGATTCAAAATGGCCTTTTTCATTTACTGTAGCTGTGTTTTGTGCTAGATGGATTGTTTACAACTCCCGTTTATTTGCGTAGAAGAAGCCATTTCGTGAACTCAGCATTTCTTAACAAGAAAGTTTGGCCCAAAAATTGAAGTTTATTTATGACAAACAAATTTGAAAGCAGATGTTTGCAAAAACTCTATGTTTCAAGTAAATAGGAAAAAGAATGGTACAGGAAGACGTCTTACCTGAGTCTTACCTCGAGCAACCGAGCCACCGTTTTTGTCAGCACTTTATGCAAAGAACGACACAACAAACCTTTTTGGCTATAAACTTGGTGAGTCAACAGAAAACAACAAAGCTCTACTTTTCTTCTCAGGTAAGGAAACAATTCAAACTTTTAACAGTTCCATTTAAGCCATTATGCTGTTGTTTGCGAAGTGATAAACTTGAGAATCGCCTCTGCAAAGATCTATTTTTAAACTGTTGCATGATTTGATCCATCAATCAATCATAATTTTTAATGGTTTCCTCTATGATTTTGTTGAGATCACTTTGTGTGTATATACTAAAACAATTATTCTTTATAATCTCGGTGAATAGTGGCTCTAGGAATATTTACCTAGCCGCTTTGCGCCTCGGTAAATATTCAGCCACTATTTACCTTGATTTCAAAGAATCATTGTTAAGTATCAGGAGGAGCAATTTACTCAACATGATGCAAAGGCTCAAACTGGCTGCAGAACATTCAAAACACAAACACCCTAAATCATGACGGTGTACGGTGAATGAATTAACCACTTCTGGCCATAGTGACACACCCCCTCCTAACCTAGGTTAAATCCCACCCCAACTTTTTACAGTTTGTTTATAACTCAAGAAATCTATTTATCATGAGAGTCATATGAATGGCTCCAAGAGTGGGCAAGCTGAGGCCAGTAATATGTTCTGACTGGCTACTGGGTAATTTTTGCATTCTCTGATGGGACTTAACTTGGCCAATATCCAGCCATCTTGACCTGGTCCCAGTTGTTTGAAAGCTGGATAGCACTATTTACCAGATAAATTGCTATCCAGAGGATAAGTATTACGACAACCAACT